GATAAATCCAGGTACAAGGCAAAGGTCCAGGCAGGGGCAAACAGTATCTGAATAGGGCAAGACGAGAGGGGGAATCCGAGAAACACAGGCAAAGATCAGGACACGAGAAAACAGACAAGGCAAGACTAAGATAAGGCTATGAAAACTAGACAGGCTCCGTAGAGTAGCTATCGCTATGAGAGTGATAAACGCTATACAATACTCGGCAGTTTGAAAGGGATCAGAGTGAGTGTTATAAAGTGAATGTGTGATTGGTTACAGCTGTGTGCAATCAGTGCAATGGATGATGCGATATGTAGTCCGGGATGACATGCAACAGTTTGTGTAGTGCGAGAGTCAATGTAATGGAAGGGTGACCTCTGGTGGTGATTGAACGGAAGTCCATGGACAGGATTCGTGACAGATTCTTTTACTTAAACAGGGTGGGGCACACATTCAACTGCAAAACAAGTTATTCAATATATACATTTGTATTGATATTGGTTACATACTAATAAAATACATCAATTTATATATCAACAAATTAAAAATAATGTGTTTATAGAAAGGCAACAGACAGATTTTCGAGCCAAAAGATACTAGTAAAATCCATGTATTGAATTCCTTCCCGTAACGAGACGGTCCAGAGAGAAGCATAACAGTTTGCGTTGAATTAAATGCCAGACACCCTTCATATGTAACCAAAATACCAATAATATATATATAAAAAGATTTTATGCGTAATACTGGACTATTAAAATTGCAATGTAATGGAAGTAGCAACATTTCTTCCATATTGTGACACATCCGAGAGCGGAAAAGAAAAAAAACAAATAAGGCAGGGGCTCTATTTATCGGCTGTTGATTGGATTTTGAGATGTGGGCATTGTTCGCAATAAGATCAATTCAATAGGAACAAATCCATGTTACTTTGCTTACACTTGAGTGGGAAAGGAAATGAATAAAAAGGATAATGAGCCCTGCTGCGACTGTATTTTGTGTGTTTTGGAATAACACAACAAAATCTGCTTGTTTGACCACACGCATTTCTGACTACCTCCATATGTAGTACCAACCCAAAACTAAAATAAGAATGATTTTCATGTTAGTGTTTTTCTGCAGTATTGATTCTATTTAAAGACTACATTCCCCTGGAAGACTGAAAATACTGCTCTGGTCAGGAAAACTTCAACTTTAAACTTCAAATTCAAGCTCTTTACTGTTAAACGCTCAAATCATAGATTACTGCATATGTGTTTCTTTGTTCTTCTTTATTGTTTTTCTTTATCTACATAAATCTGTTTTAATTTATTATTTTTCTATAAATTCATTAGTTTTTATCATTCATATTGTATGAACAAAATTAAGATTTTAAATACTTAGACAATTAAAATGAGTGCTCAATAGCCATTTTGGTAACAAAGGATCAAATTTGAGCTATTAATTAGTTGCTTATTATCATGCATATTACTATAAAGCACATATTAATACCTTATTCTGCATGACCGTATTTTAGATCCCTTAATCCTACACAATATCTAAACTTAACAACTACCTTACTAACTATTAATAACCAGCAAATTAGGAGTTTGTTCAGGGAAAACTCTTAGTTAATAGGGAATATGTGGTCCCTATTCTAAAGTGTTACCGCCATTTTTTTCCTATTCGAATTGAGAATCATTATTAGTATTTTACTGGGATTGATTAATACAGACTACTGAAATGTTGGTAAATTGACAGTGTACATAAAATAAAACTGTGCACCTTCTAACAAAAAGTTCATTCAGTTAACTTTTTTCATAATTTATCAGAAAAATAAAGAGTGTTGGTTCACCTGTAGAGTGCTACATAATAGCGATCTGAAATGGTCTGTTGGGAGTCCATGACCTGAAAGAGCAGCATAAGGGCTTGGACAGCAGTGTTGAATTTGACAATGTGCACCACTTTAAAAAGCGTGTCCAGCCGCTTGCACACATCATCATCCCCAATCTTTGCGTACGGATAGGCTCTGTTCACTCCTGTTAGCAGAGCGCTGAGCATTTTAGACTCAATATCCTTCTTCTTAACACATGCATTGAAAAACATGATGTAGATGGTGATAAGCTTGGCAGCCAAGTCTGCTTCCTCGTGGCTCAGAATTACTTGGTTTAGGAAACAAGCGGCATAATATTGAGCCTTGGAACTGATATTGGGTCTGAACATGAGGCGCTCAACCTCACAGCACACCACTGTCTTCATGTTGGGGTGTTTGTGAAGCACCGTTTCCAGCAGGTGCGAGGCTTTGGAAGCAATTTTGTATTCAGGATCCCCCAATTTGTTGACAATCTGTACAAGAAGCACTTTCTCCTGCTCCGGCTGATTGCACAGCAGCTCATAGGCGGTGGTAAGCGATCGCATTTTGGTGGCCTGGACCGTATCGCGAGCCAGTTCGTCTAGTGCGGCAACAAAATCTGCTACCTTAAGTTTCAGCTGGTGCTCAAAGTACCACAGGATGGGCCTGCGGTCCCGGGCATCCCTATTTCCACTGGCTTTTTCCTCCAGCTGCTCAAAATGATGCAGGGAAAAAGTGTGACGCTTGCAGTGTTTTGGAAGAAGGTCAGTAAGCAGCAGCTCCTTAAGAGTATCCAAGGCCATAAGGCCTTGTCTACGACTTCCTTTCTTTTTCACCAGAGACACAAGGCTCTCAACGTGCTCGAGACTATGAATCGGAGCATCCTGAATTAGCACAGTCATAGCTGCCATCCTATCGGTCAAAGTTCCTGTGGACACTACACTCTTCATCCAAGCAGAGTTGGCACCTTTCTGGAAGTTCTTCTTGCTTTTGTAGAGGGACATTTCATTCTCATAGAGTTACTGAGCCAAAGCCTTGTACTGAAAGACCAGTGATTCGCTCTGAGCCACAGACGTGCTCTCCGAGGTGTACTCTATATCAAACCATTTCCCTCCAAGTTTGATAAGCAGAGTTTGACGTGGAATAAACTCAAACAAGTTTGTGTGTTTCTGTTTGGCCTTCTTTCCTGTAGCATGGCCAAGTTCTGTAGATTGAACAGGGGTTTTCATATCTTCTGTTAAGGGGTTAACAACATTTTTCTCACCAGACTGCGAATCCTCTTTCATTTGGGAGCTTTTCGCCTTTTTTTCCTCCTTTTTGGGTGGCTCTGGGGATGTTTCATCCTGTTCATCTTGAATGATTTGTTGCTCTGCATAAGCACGGATGCCCAGCTTTGTTATGAAATCTTCCAGCTCTCCCTCCTCCAGATCATCAATTGTACCTTTCTTTGCACCATCGATGAGCTCGGCAGAGTCACTGATGCAGGCCAGCATGACATAATCTGCCCGTGACAAGACAACAACATGATTTAATAGACAAAAATTAAACATATCACCATATTACTTGCGTGTAATTAGTGGTCGCAAGAAAGAAAAAAAAAAGCTTGAAAAACAAAGAATTTCAATGCACATGAAATAGAAACAAGTACCACAGTTTTGACTAGAATAATTATGCACTAAACAAAGAACTTCAAAAATATTGGATTTATATTAACTAGATAATGGTAATGCCCTTGCTTAATGTTTGAGTGGATTCATTACTGTGTGAAATTGAATTAGAAGATTTTGAAATTGAAAAAAATCGATTTTTCGATAAATGACGTCGATTCTCAAAAGCCGCGAATCGATCTTTTCCAGTATTTATTTCAGCACACACTTAAAACAAGTTCTGATTAATGTGAATCTTATCATTAGTCTTCTCCACTAGATGTCACCCTTACCTTGAGCGATGTTACAGCAGAAAGCCTGTCATTCATTCAGCGCTTATCATGGTCATACGCATGATTTGCAATGCTCAGGTGAAATGCTATAGTAATACTATAAATCTGCGGAAGCATTTGATATCACGCATAAGGCGCCATGATTTCCACAATGAATGAATGGCGGATGGCGCGGCGCACTGTTTTGTTTACTACACACATACTAAAGCGCGGATGACGCCCGCAGTGTTTTCAGCTTCTGCCGTCTTACAATATGATGATATGAACACGAATGTCATTCCAGCTGCTCTGAGAGTCACTTCATTAGCATTTTACCATTTCATTTAAGAAAACTACCGTCATATCACATACACAGCAGCTGCAAGTTCTTCACGGCGACCAGTCAAAATAAAAGTTTAGTTTAATGTTTAGAAACTGTCAGAATATATTACTATTTAGCAGTCTTAAGACTCAATGCTACTACTGCTAATAAATCTTTATTTTTAAATATTTTTAAAGGAATAATCACATCTGTTTTATTTTAAATTTTAACAGTAAACCTCTGTTGTGCAGCACTTTGTTTGCCAACAAAATAAAAGGGTTTAATTTTCATTTAATTAGGATCAATTAAATTAATGTTTTATGCCTTCATCTGATTACCAGAAAAATCAAGAACATTTTATAGGGCCCTATTATTGTTTAAAAAAGGACCCATACAAAAAAAAGTATATGAAATTATATAACTAAATGATATGAAATGATATAAATTATATGTATATGAATTATATAACTAAAATTAAATAACTGTAATTACAGATTTAGGTTAAATAAAGATGTCAGTCTTTATTTTTCTTCTTTTTAGGAATCAAATCAAAGAAAAATAAACAAATTCTACTGTTCCTAATATTCTGTATGTTGCTCAAAAACAAAATATATTGTGTTCAGCGGAAAAAAGTTTTTTGTTTTTTTTACCCAGTCATTTAAAAATAACACATTTTAGAGCTGTAACGACAATACCATGATACCGTGATATTTTTGCTTAAGGTGCCTAATCGAGAGCTTGCGAATCAAAATCGAACCGAATCGGGACATCTGAATCGATACCCAGCCCTATTTGTTATGAAATGTAAAAAGTACAAAAATGCATCACTTGAGTTAAGCAGAAAATATCAAAATTTTGGCATATGATTGGTTCTATTTTTATGTTTAACATTCATTTGTAGACTTTTTTTTTTTCAAAATACAGCACTTTTTAATGTGATATTTAGTAAAACAATTTTTTTACAAATTTTTTTTGTCACATTAAGACTGTCTTGGAAACCTTTCACCGTGCCTTTACTAGGGTTGTGACAGTGAGGGCATTTTCCCACCGGTTCCCAGACGTGTGACAAGCGATAATACCAGTATCACTGTGGGGGCAGGGGGGTTCCCTCTTTTCCTTGCTTTCCTTCGCTTTTAAATAGCTTGCAAAAGCGGCGTGTGCATTTTACTTTCACTTTCAAATAGCGGCAATTTGGCGTAAAGCAATTGTTCTTTTTAGTTTGTTTGAATTTTCCCTCGTTTCCTCGCTTTTAAATAGCTTAAAAGCACCGTGCGCATTTTTATTTGAATTAGCGGCAATTAGGTGTCAATTGCTTGAATGCAACAACAAAATACAATGTCAAACTCACTTTAGCCTATATATAAAACATACAATTTATGCATAGATTACCATTTTACTGTATCAGATCAAACTATGATCTAAACAATGAAAGAAAAACAAACATTTGAATATTTGTGAAAATGACCAACAAAACCCTCAACAATTTTATACCTAATAAAAGATTTGCAAGCATTAACATACTTATTGCTGTGAAACACAACTTCTGCAAGATGACATACTGAGTAACATCATCTTTGAAGTTGTAGTGACAAGTCCCAAAATGGAATGTGAAATTTAGCGTTTTTCCAACTTTCATTGAGCATTGAGATTTTAACTTTACTCTAATAATGGCAGGGACTGCTGACACAAACAAGATCAAACTACACAAACAACATCAAACCAAGGAATCTACCATAAACAAGCAACTCTTGAAGTAGAGTGATGCTGATACTCCACCTGTTATACACAATAGAGAAACTTTGTCAGACTCGGTCAGTGTTGAAATGGTCTATTTGCCAGTTTAAATAGATCCAGTGACACAGTATTCTATAATCTCTGCCACACACAGGTGTGGTGTAACCAGCGGTACAGTGCACATCCTATCCTGACTGCAATTACTGTTAACTTACTGTGCAATTACAGTATTACAAGACCTAGGCCTCTGTCTCTGCATACCCTGGGTTAAAAACCAATCTAATAATTCTTCTAACCAGTCCTAATATGTTCAAAAGAGGGTTCTACTTATATATTTCTATACTTCTAGCTAACTTTTCAGCACAGCTCTTATTGGCAACATATCTGGACTGGTTGCCACGAAAACTTTACATGCTTGCTGCTGCTGTTGTCATAAAAATTACCTGGAGTTACAATTATTTTAGGTTTCATCATAGTTACATCAGATTATTATTTCCAATTATTTTATTGTTCTATTTATTTTTAATTGTAAGGTTATTAACAAATCCACCTTAGAGTTTGACTAGGTTGTTCAGTCTAAAATAATTACACACACACACACACACACACACACACACACACACACACACACACACACGTACGTATCCAATATGTTGGTGTATGTGTAATAAAAGACATGAGTTATTTCTATCCCTTTTTCTCTCTCCCCGTCTTTCTGTCAAACACCTTTTGAAAAATTATATATAGAAGGGGAAAAAAATCTGAAGTGCCTAGAGTTGAAAAAAACCCACTTAATCGGAAAACATTAGAAGATTTAACGTTACTAGAAATGTTCGCAGATTGTCCCTTCTGTGTGGTTATGTTCTAATCATTAAATGAAGAATGGCACGTGTGGAGGACACACGTTAAAAACTCACCTTTGTCCCGCCCAAACGCAATACATCCTCCAGGGTGAACTCGTCTTCATTTTTGTCATTCTCATCAGTCTGATCGCAGTCTTCATCAGTGTTGGGGGTAACTCATTACAAGTAACGCAAGTTACTTTTTTTTTTCTCCAATTTATTGATTGACAGCTCTCCTGTCCCCATGTTGAGAGAAATCAGAAGATGTTACTGTAGTTCTAAAATAAATATGAATATGCATTAATTCATCTCACTCACACAAAAAAAAACTGATTCAGTATTCCTCAAAATGAATAAAAATAATGCAACACAGAATATGACGCAAACCTGCAATAATTAAATGTTAAAGAACACAAATATCCTTTATGTATTTAATCCCATTCTATTAACCAATGTCTTTGCTTCTGACCTTCGATGATCCAGTTCAGCCATACTAATAAGCACAAATTACTCTAGACAAACATTCGTGTGTCTTTTTTTATTGCTGAAGTGTGTTGAAATTTCTTCTTCTGCATTCTACTGTACTGACTTAAATTTACTTTCCCTTATAATGAGCCTCTGTCGTTGCGTTTCTGAGACAACTGCTCAACCTGAATCCATTCATTAGAATTCATGTTATTCAAATCATCCTCTTCATCTAAACTACCCCCTTCACTCTCTTCATTCACACCACAGCTGTCGCTTAACCCGCCATGCTGTCTTTCCACCAGCAGTTTCAGAACCGCAGCAGTGTTGCCAGATTGGAAATGTCCAAGTATCGTACCAGAAGCTCAAAATTATCGTATTTGGAAGACAATTATCGTACAAGAGTCAAACGTACAGAATACAGCTATTTATCTAGATTCTAGACCAACAACTTTTTGACACGACCTGCAAATTACCACAATAGATAAATAACTAGGCGTACGTAAGTGGGAAGGTCCAAACTCCACCTCTGAGTCGCAGTTATCAGAAGCTTGCGTGTTGCCAGATGTTGAGGGGGTCCGGTTGCGGTACAGATTTGATGCCGTCATGGACCGCAACAGTGCCGCTGCTGGCCAAATGGGTGCCCTACGCAGAATTGTATTGTTGTACCCCCTCCCCCAAATATTATGGATGTAAAAAAAAAAAAAACTACTATAGGGGCCAAAACAGAACTTTAATAAAATATAAAAGTAAATAAATAAACAAATTGTAATTATATTGTATTATTTACAAATTACAATTGTAGCACTAGACAGTTACCTATGGCTTTTAAAGATTATGTGGATATTTGAATTAAATGTTTGGTAAGTGTAACAGCAGCAGTTACCAGGCCTTTGGCTCCCTTTGCAAGCATTTGTAATAATATGTAATGTACATGAATTGTTTACCTTGTATTACATTATGTATTTTAACAGTGTTATTCAATGAAACCACTTAATTAACCAATCATTATTGAATCATTGTTTTATATAATGCATTTTAAGTAATTTTAAAGGCTGTTGTTGGCTTAGGTCTGATTTTATAACCACAAAACATATTATCTTAATACTTCTGTAAACTATGAAGTAACAAAATCATGGTTAATTTGTGGTTACAATCCATGGCTACAAGAACCATGATTTTTGGTTTTATTCGTAAAACCATGGCTAATTTTTGTAAGGGAACATGGAAAGTCAGAGAGAATATTAGATGAGTTGTTGGTGGTTAAATTATCACCGACATTAAAACACGTTAGTAACATCAACATCCAAAAAAGTTTCACAGGATTATGAATGTAGGCCTGAAAGTGATGCACGGGCTTCATATTTTTTCTTTTTCTTTTCTCGGCGCCGGATTGCTGGTGTCTTTTCACGGCATAGTTGTCCATCAATTATGATCATTTGCATTCAGCCGCAAACATGAGGTGCGAGCCCGGGAGTTGGTGCCCTACGCAAACTGCGTACTCTGCATATAGGGAGCTGCGGTACTGGACCGCAACATAGTGCTCGTTTAAAAGCAGGGCACGGTAGACGTAAGATCCACAGCTAGATGAATTAGTATAGAAGAAGCCCTATGATTACAACGACCATTATTGGAAGTTTCACAAAATTCTGAAATTATCGTACATTATGGGATTTTTTTCATTATTGATCGTACAGAGGTCTAAATTATCGTACAGATACGATAATTATCGTACGTCTGGCAACACTGAACCGCAGCCACAGAACCGGAAGTGAGGGGCGGAGCTTACGTTCTTAACAGAGTAGCGCCACCTTACGGTTTTTAAGGGGTAATTTGCTTTTATTACACCCCATACTTCATACTTTATGTACGTATGCATTTTATAATGATATATTAAGCATTTTATAGACATTAATCTTGTGTAATTTAGTTGTAGGCCTATACAATTATTTGTGTCATTGTATTATGCGAGTTATTTCCTGTTTGTGATATTAAAAATAATGTTTGAAACTTCTGGGCATCTTAAATAAAATATACTTTAATCACAAGACTCAAAATAAATGTTTACTCCAAAGTCAAGAACACGTGCATCATACATTTTTCTATATGAAAACTAAAACATTTCAATAAAACACACTCACACAAACAGCAGCATAATTTTAAAAAGTAACAATCAAAACGTACACAATAATTAAATTGACAATTCACTATTAAGCCCATTTTGTCATGACAATCCTGCATAAAAAATTTACAAAATTAACAATTCACTCTTGGGCACATTTTGTCATGACAATCTTGAATAAATTCAAATTAAAATATATCAAACATTTACATTTAATCATTTAGCAGATGCTTTTATCCAAAGCGACTTACAAATGAGAACAATAGAATCAGACCAACGAGAGAACAACAACAGTATACAAGTGCCATGACAAGTCTCAGTTAGTCTAGCACAGTACACGTAGCTAGGTTTTTTTTTGTTTTGTTTTTAAATAATAGAATGGAATAGAACAGAACAGGTAAGTGCTAGTATTAGTTGGTCAGGTGCTGGTGAAAAAGATGTGTCTTTAGATGTTTTTTGAAAATGGCTAAAGACTCAGCTGTTCGAATTGAGATCGGGAGGTCATTCCACCAGCTGGGCAGAGTCCAGGAAAAGGTGAGAGTGATTCCGTGAGAGTGATTTTGAGCCTCTTTGGGATGGCACCACAAGGCGCCGTTCACTTGCAGAACGCAAGCTTCTGGAGGGCGCATAAGTTTGAACTAGTGAGTTTCGGTATATTGGTGCAGCGCCAGTGGTTGTCTTGTAGGCAAACATCAGTACCTTGAATTTGATGCGAGCAGCTACTGGTAGCCAGTGTAACCTGATGAGGAGAGGAGTAACGTGAGCTTTTTTCTGGCTCACTGAAGACCACTCTCGCTGCTGCATTCTGGATAAGTTGCAGAGGCTTGATAGTACATGCGGGAAGGCCCGTTAAGAGAGCATTACAATCAAATGAACAATTCACTCTTAGGCCCATTTTGTTATGACAATCCTACAAAAATAACTCCCCTGAACACAAGATGAAATATGAAGGGCACTCTGGAAGCTTCTGATTGTTCCAGGAGATTGTTGAGGGCCTTTTCCTTGTCCTCTTCCTCCATTATAAGGAAAAGAGGCTCTTCCACTGGCCCCCTGAGCAGATGTCTGTTGTAATGGAGCCATTTCACAACTTCTGTCTGGGATTACTGGGATCTCCTTCATTACAGAATATTAAAGGAAAATTTAACTTTAATATTTCTTCTTAGTGTGTGTGTGTGTATATATATATATATATATATAATAGATATAGACAGATAGACACAGATAGACAGACAGATAGATTTGAGACATACCTCACAAGCGTAGCCTGTTATCCACTTGGAAGGGCCTCTTGTAGGGTTTCTGCACTGTAATATACATGTATCTTGGTTAATTTCAAATTGGTCAGAAGGGGGTGCAAATGTAATGGTGTGCTGGAGGAAATGTCCAGTACCTTTCAGAGAAAACTCCAAAGTTCTCCAGAAGAATAAGAGTCCACCATCTCCGTATGATTGGAATGTCACACTGGAAGACACAAACATAGAGAAATCTTTAAATATCAACTGCTACAACATCATAAAGGTCAATTACTTTAACTGATAACTACTTACAAGTGTAAAATCAAAGGGTGCTCCCAAGACAAGAGGTACTGGAAAACAACAACAAATAAGAATATTCTCCCTGTAAATGGCACAAAAAAACCTTCCTTGTTCCTTATTTAACAACTAAATCACACCAATAATTGATTGCAAAAACGTATAGTATAGCCTAAAATAAATAAAGTATACAGGTAAACTATTAGGCAATAATATATTGTGAGTACATATATTAAACAAACAACTCAAGATATTCATACCTCCACAGACACTGCCTTGTTGAAGTGGATTTGAAGATGACTTTTTAATTTGACCAGTTTGGCTGGCTTAAACATGCTGGTCAAGCAGAAAAGTGCTGGTAATTGCTGTAACACTTGTTGCACTGCTGCAGCTCAGGTAATGTGTCAACTCTCTGAATCCTTATGTCTCTACAAGAGATGAAGCCACACACAATTATCTCAATGATGACAAATGGGATTAAAATAACTAAACTACAAGGTAATATTAACACACAAACAATGCATATAACAGAGGGAATTAAAGTAAACTATTTATTAAAGTTATATACTATAAAGTATGACAACAAATTCAAGTTTCAATATAAGATAATAAAGCCAAGCACACATTAAGTACTTAGCAGATAAATGCTTAACGTAATATATACGATAATTATTAAACATATGATAGCAAAAACATTACAGACTACTCACCATGCTCTCTCGTTGTCAATAACTCCGCCCCTCACTTCCGGTTCTGTGGCTGCGTTTCTGAAACAGCTGGTGCTGCGATTCTGCAGCTGGATATATCTCAGCGGATGACTCACTTTCCTCACGCAGCCGAGTCTGACCACCAGATGTCGCTAATGCGCACTGTGTTAAAAAGCTTCGAGCGATGAACCGTTTTTCGGTGCAATTTGATGAAAGCCTCAAACGGTTCAGAAAACATCGGTTTCCCATCACTACCGAATGAGGGAACAGGGTATATATATAGGTAGAGACGAAAGAGGTAACCAGTAACAGATGGGAACAATCAGGTGTA